CCACGTCTTGTAACAACTGTCGCTATCTCCGCGGTCACAGCGTCAAACTGAAAACGAAGCAATTGAAAACAACCGTTCGCCAGTGGTTCCTCGGCAATCGTGTGTTCAACAGTCAATAGCTTCAAAGTGTGTTATCATAGGCGAAGCAGTGTACATACGTTATAGCTGTAGACTTCCTGTTTTTATGTTACTTGTCCGTAAACTACGTTTTTCATTTTGTACATCAGCCGGCTCACTTATATTTTGGAAAAATAATGATGATTTTAAATGGTCCGTTCTAGCCTGCAGTCGAAGTGAAAGTGAGCTATCACGACAGAGTTGCTAGGTGGGTGAGACAGAATTCCTCCACAAGCCCAAGAATCTCCGAGATTTATTAACCTTTTTGGAAAAATTCCCCAAATCAAACTTCAATAACAGGAGTTAGGCGGTTAGACTAGGTTTGATTTGGAGAGCGGGAGGAAGAGGAGATCGTCATAAAATATTTAGAAGTAGTATTTAGAAAAATTAAGATAAAGGGTGTTATAAAATTATAACTTGATTAAATTTATTAAGTCCAACGTCGTCTCGAGGGGGATCTAAACGATTATTTGTGATACAAAAATATACTGACTGTTGCGCAATTTTTATAACGTTCTTTGGATTAAGCAAAGAAATAAAACTATTTTGTCTCTAGAATTTTGTTCATATTGCTTTTCGAGAAAAAGAAATGGGTAATTCCATGATTATGCAGCAAGACGGTTGATTTCAGACCAAAGGGGGCCATTTCCAACACCTAGTTTAGTGAAATTTGTTAGTCTAAATTTCAACATTACATAATATTTGTTGTTACATAATTAGTAATAAAATTATAAAAAAATAATTTCCAAAAGAAACTTTTCCCCATATCCCTTGTGTGGTCCAGGGATATTCAATCAAGAGGACTTCTTTTTCTAGAAAAAAGAGACAAAAAAGTCGTCTTTCTATTTGCTAAATCCAAAGAACATAATAAAAATTGCATGAAAGTCACTGGCGTACAAAAAGCAACAAAAAGAAGGTTATTGACTGAATATGGTATATTTGTTTCCGTGTCTGTGACCATAACCAACCGCATACAACGTTGTTTCAAGCTTTTAGGAATAGCATCGCAAGCGATGTAGCACTAGCCATTGAAGGCAGTCAACGGAAAGCGATCAATATCAAGCATGCCCACTAAAAAGAATAGTATAGTAGTACGCGAAGAAGTGACACTGCCACCCATGCTCATAGGCATTGAACAATGCTTTTCGCGATTAATTGTGGCCACAGAAAGGAAAAGCAAAGAGATCCTAACCAGCATGTGTTTAGTTTATGAAACTTTTGCATAGTATGTCCCCTAATTGATGAGATGCCTATGTGGTTAGCGACACTTGTTCGGCACGGGAATTACGTATCTTGAAAAGTGACTTTATATCGGTTTTTTTGACACTATACTGTTTTTTTTGACATTATGTAGGTTTTTCTACGCTTTTAACTTAGCACGTTGTTGTACGTGTTGCCTGAACGTCATGTGTTGATGATAATTCCATTGGATTCATGTCCCAAATACACTTAATTGAGATTCAAAGCTAAAAATTAGTTGCGCATCCACTTTTTCTTATCCATTCTGGAAATTACATATGCAAATTTGCTCAATTTCAAAAATGAGAGTGATAATAAATAATTATATTCACTGTAGACTGTCGAATTACAAGCCATATACATGCTAACAGTAATTACACACAACGCGGGCGAAGTGATAATTTCCCGTAATTCTCCTCAAAGTTTTTCGTAATTTATAACTTTGAACATAACCTGTCTTCAGAAAGGACAACATATAAATCACCCGGCATGCACAGCTAATAGTTGCACTTCATTGGCAGCATATTTAGTAATGACTTTCTCACACAGCAAATATCACTGATTTTATAAACATGCAGATCCATAGACATAAATCATCCAGATGCGATCTTGTTATTCAACCAATTTTCTTCTCAGAGATAAAAACTACAAACACAGACCACTCGGCCTCACAAAACATATGCAACCAACAATGCGTGTAGTTTAGTTGAGTGATTCCTCCATTAGATGGACGTTTACAACGATCCTAGTGAGCAAACGTGAAATGTCTGTTAGCACACTAAAAACTACCTATTCTGCAAGATGACATCTTATAGGCTTTTTTTACATAATACTTGTTTCTTGCTTCCGACAGAGGGGTCGGTAGTATTTGGTTTGGCGAACTACTCGAAGGTGGCACCTTTGCAGTCTCGTACTCCTGGCTATTGATACCAAGTCAAGTTATAAATTATTGGTACTAGCTCAATCTAAACATTTATTATAAATACAACGCATCGACGATTTTAAAAGCCATCGTCAGGTACATGTAATTTTTAGTTGGTGAAAAATATGTCGTTGATCTATAGTCAAACTGCCAACATCTATCTAGCAGAAATGTGATTATTTTTCACCAACTAAATAAAGCCATTGATTGACATTAACATATTCTACCTGAAGACATCCAATCTAATACTTTTTCCGCGCGTTCAAAAAACTCGAGCTGAAGTGAGATGCCGTCATTTTATAAGAATTTGTCACAGCGGTATCTACTCTGCGCAATAATTAGACGTCCACTTTGAAAATGTTGCTGTCTCGTAGATGGCGCTGCAACTAAATGCTCATAAATATCTGGCTGCAGATCTATATATGCGACACTAACTTTTTCAAACTAGAGGTCTAATTATTGCGGAGAGTAGAATGACAGCTATGACAAATTCTCGCAGATTTCATTTCATCTCGGATAGTTTTTTCGACGCGCCAATATAGCATTAGGTTGGTAAAATACATCTAAGAACCACATGCACATGAAGCTGGCGTTTTACAATGAATGTTTTAAATTGACCGAATACCAAGAATTTATAACTTGGATAGGTGACAGTGTTACTCCTTCGATAAAGTTGTTATTCGGCAATGGACAATTTGATGCGGTTAGAAATACAAAAACATACCTCAAAAATACCGACCGATTTTATTTTTCCCCCAAAATGACAAGTTGCTTTGCTGTGTAGTATATACAAGTATAATACTATGCTGCGCCGATTCTGTTTTGTTTTTCGTTGTTGGCCGCACAAGCGCAGGTGCGCAGTGGGTGGATGCCCGATTTTTTCGATTTAACGCTGCCGCACTTGCGGCAAAAACAAACGCGTTCCACCAGCCGGGTTTCGCTTCGTTTGCAACGAATAAATGAACGCATTTGTCATTTTCAGTGTAGCACATACTAGAAACGTTGTGAGTTATTTTGGATGTTTGTCTACTTGGGTGTTATGTCTTGTATCTGGGAACGAGGACCCGTAAAAAATATTTTTACTGAAGTCCACTTGGAAAAAATAAGTGGAAGAGAATGTCTGGAAGCTGAAGCAGGAATGGCAATACCAATGACGGTTTGAAAGACACGATAACTTTCAAGTATTACGTAGAATAAAGCTGTATAAGACTGAAATTTAGTATTAAACCATATCTCAAGTTATACTGTGAATCCTACTTCTTATTTTCAATAAACGCCATTATTGATATAGATTTGTTATTCCAGGATGTGTTAGTTTACGTCAACCTGAAGACATACGTAAGAGGCGGCATACGTTTTGTTCTAAGACCAGTAACTACGGTTATATTCACATAAATCAAATTCAAGCGGATAACCAAATGGAAATGGTATTTACCATTTTGGGTTGGTATTTACCAATCCGTTCAAGCGAGTGTAGTTATCAGTTTGGTTATAAGATCCGTGACGTCACGAATCAGCTGTTATATGTCATAGTTATCACCGCAAAATTGTGGTATTTACCCAACTCAAGGGTAGTTTTATATTTCTGGTTATTATTTGAAATGTGACAAGTTAGAATTTTGCCGGGTATTGGATATTGTTATTGTACTTCAGCTTCATTTTTGAGAAAAATGATACAGGCTGACTTCAGTTTTACCATAAAGTGGAGCACCTTATTAGTTATACTCATTACGGTTGTTGATGACACTTTAAATGTAGTTCCTATGCTTAACAAAGTATCGTGTGTAGCCATATACCACAAGAATATTAAAATATGGCCATATAAACTCACTAGATGATATCCACCTGTATACGGTTTTGCTAATATCTTTTTTCATCATTTCTGCTGAATCAATAAATGTTTTCTTTGACATGCGGAAAAATTTAGAGAATTGAAAGTTATCATAGCTACAAAGCCATGGTTCCATCATTAAAAAAAATCTGAAAAAACATTTCTCCCATGAATATTATGAAAGGTTTCTTATTTAAACTTTCGATATACAGTTGTAGACGAAAAAGCACCGATTACTAAGTGATAATAAAAATAATCAGAGATTATATACGCGCTTTTCTAAAATAAACAACTTGCAACAAAACCGCGGTTAAAACCAACGCGTTCAAGCGATTCGTGTAACTGACGTCATCAACCCGTGTGTCATCTTGAACCATATTATAACCGCGGCACATAACACAGAAATTTTGGTTATTCGCTTGGATTTGATTATTGTTATTTATTTATTTAGCAATATCCAACAGCCAGTCAATTACAGGATGAATAAACATGAAAATAAAAAGAAATGCATGTAAGTGGAGGATGTACGTAGAGAAAGCTCAAACGCTGAAAAAACCTCAACGCGAGTAAAAAAAGTGTTCCAGCTTTACCTACCCATCACTAAAAAATCACAAGGGGAAGATTTATACAAGCACTAACGAAAATAAGAATTAATGTCTCCCAAAGTCGAACAAAACGAAAATATATCTAAATTTCTATTAACTGAATTAAAATTACGGCACATTATATAGATAGAAGAAAACTTAAGCATGTCAGTCCTAGGACTGGCTAAGTAAAAAGTTAAGCTATTTCGCGACGCACGAAGCAATAATGAAATACCAGCGAACATAGTATTTACTGGACTATATTCGATCATTTAAAGGTTAGGAAACTCTGTTCTCGCTTGGGTGTCCCACCCATCAACTGACGTACAGAACATGACAAGAAAATCTTGGTCGCGTGGTGGAACAAACGTTGAAAAGACTTGAATCTCGTGTGACGAAAATTACGTATATCTTTTGATGCTCCAACCGAAGCACACAGACGGGCCTGAGTTTTCAAAAATGAAGATCAGCTCATTGAAGTCAAAAGGTAAGTGGGAAATGTCCTGCTTAGTAAACAGAAGACCGTCACAGCTAAGTGACACGTAGGAGAAAACTTGTCACAACCATTTTCAGCACTGAAAAATGTAAGAGCCAGATCCCAACTCCGCTGGTGGTATCTTCACAACGCACTGGCGCATCCCTCTCAGTTAACTCAACAGTTTTTTGAAAAAATCCAAGTGTTAGATCATTCACTTTGCAGCCCTGACCTGGTGCCATGCGATTTTAGATTTTTTCCGGTTGGCAAGTCACAGCGGAGGAGCAATGTGATTCCTGATTTGATGATTGATCCTTCATAATATCGTGAAGTATGCCTCAATAAACAATAAATAGCTTTTTCATATGCCGCCGTCTATGTACCGTAAGAGCTGAAGGAACTTAACTCTCGTGGTCTTTTTTATGGACAAAATTATGATGGTAGATAACCCATACGGTGCATGGTACAGAATTGGCAGCCTGCCTGATCAATTGCTTTGTTTATCTTCTTACGCGCCCGGCTTAACAACAAATAAATAGATAAAGGATGTCCAGGAGCAGATACTGTAACTCTAAGTTAGACATGTTTCAACCATGCCTATTTGACTCACAGAATGTATATAAGGTTGTGTATTTTTAATATAAATATGAATTCTTGTGAAACTAGATAAAGACATCACCAGCAAATATTCTTGATGGCTCAGGAAGAAAATAGTAGGTTCAAAAGAGCTTGGATTGAAAAATATTCCACAACATTGGCCAACATCCTCAATCTTTGATGTTGTCTGTCCATTTCTATTTCAATACCAGATGTCTCTGAAATTGCTCTGCAACGAAGTTACTTTTTTATATGACAGGATGCCCAACATAAGCCTGTTTCAAAAACACAAAAAATATAAATAATGCTCGGGAAAGGTAAACATAAGACCAATATTCTTGTTTTGAAACTAAATATGACAAGAGATGGGGGCGCCAAGTGCAGCTCAGCCTTATAAATTACCACCTTATTAAAGACGTTCATTAATATCTCACTTGGTAATATGACAGTGCTCATATCCGCAAAATAATTATGACCGAGAAAAACAGGCTATGATGTACGGTTCAAACGTGATGAGTTAAGATTTTGGCACGGTTCTTAGTGGGAATTATGTGGATTTCCAACGACGGACGGCATCCTTGAAATACGTAGGAGTTGTCAGGAGTTATATTTATGATCCTACAGAATTTATGGCTGTAGAAATGGGAAATGTTTCGACCAGTTGCAGGTCTTTGAACATTTCGTAACATAATGCACCGCGTTTGTAAATAAGTTTGCAGTCTTATAATAAATACTAAGTACTCAAATGTAATGTTTCAGACGGCAACCGAATAAAAATTGAGAATACAACCGAAAAATAAACTATCTGTGGTGGAAGTAATAATCGATGACCTTCTTTGATGAGTACTATAATTGCAAATGTACAGGGCGGCCATCATAACTTGTCGTCTTGTTCCAGAAACTAGAAACTATTGTGTATGAAATTATTCAGGCTGTTATCCGCTATGAAGGTAGCTTTCGCTTGTAAGAACGAGCATTTTCAATGTGACTCCATCCGTCCAATAATAAATAAAGTATATTTGAAATACTAGTCAAAATAGCTCATGCATGTAAAAACTAAGTATTTTGTAAAGTATACGCAGAATCAAAAAATGGAACAAAATATAGGGGATGGTAATTAAAAAAAATTAGATGTTCAATCTGGTAAAACTGATACACTCTGCACATACAGCTATACAATAAAATAAAATTATTCGCATTTTTTGGAAATCCACTGGTTTCTCGGATAAGAGGATAGGATCAGCTACGTTGTCCATTACAGGCAAACATGTTGAGATCTGTGCAGATAGAACACAGATATACGACAATTACAGCACTATACTGAACTTGGCGTTATGGCGAAACGGCAGATAAAACCAGAATTTTTAGTACATGGCCCATCCAAACCATGAAAAATATATAAGTGACCGATTTGAATTGCGAGCCATTTTTGATACATGCACTTCAATAGACAATACAGTCATGCGATATTGCAGCTTAATACCCAAAATAACGATTTTTTACCGACAACTGATAATGAGCGATGAAGCCCACTTCGATATGAACGGATTTGCTTATCAGCAGAATTGTCCTATCTGGGCATTATAGATCCCTGTCATTGGATCTTACTTCTTTGAAGACGCTGCAGGTAATTCTATTACTGCCACTGGCGAGCGCTACCGTGATATGGTGCAAAACTTTTTGGCTCCTCAAATCCAACAATTTAACCTGCAAGACATGTGGTTCCAGCAGGGCGGGACAACTTGTCACACATCTAGGGAAACAATGAATCTTTTGCGAACAATATTTCCGGGACTTTTAATTTCTCGATTTGGTGATGTCAACTGTCCACCAAGGTCACCGGATTTAACGGCTCCTGACTTCTTTATGGGTACTTTTGAAAAATAGGGTTTATGCCAACAAACCAAATACTGTGGAGCAGCTGAAAAACAATATTACGGAAGCAATTGCAAATATTCCTCCCAAAACCTACCGAAAAGTGATGGAAAAAGTAATCAATAGAGCTCGGGTTTACGCGGTTTCTAGAGGTGGACATTTCTCTGATATTATTTTTCATACATAATTTCTAAGTTTCAATAAAAGATTAAGATGAAAAAAATGATCGAATTTTATTTCATTTCACAGATACAAGATACAAACCAGCCAGTTACATATCGGCCACCCTGTATTAGTAGGTATAGCTTTTGATCGTCCAACCACAGACGGCCAACCATGATCAACTGTTTTGTGCTATTTGACAACTCCTCGGCAAGGTGTAGGCATGGTCTCGGGAAGGAAAACGAACGAAATCTGAGCAACTATCCTCTATCCACAGTATAAGGTCTGTCGAAACAAGTCTGCACAAAGTAACATCTGTTACCAGAATCGACGGCTAGCAGAGTGAAAGCAAGTTATCTGTTAGAACTGTATCCCAGTGCTGCCTCATTTCGATAGACCTCATACTACGTGAAACCAAGCCTACACCATGCTAAGGAATTACCAAATAGCACGAAACATCTGTCCCTGGTTTGTCGTCTGTGATCGGACGAAACAAAGCTATATTACTAGTCTGTTCATTGGCGAGTAGACCGGTTCTACTATAGCACCAGAATTGGCGGCATCTAGCGGCCACAGTGGTGACCCGGCTGACAATGCGAACTGGAATACAGATCCAACAGACAGCTTGCTGGTCGATTCTAGGAACAGATGCCACTTTGTGCTGTCTTATTTCCACTGCTATGTTAAAAATCGACAGTATTCGAAAACATGTGGACCAAAGAGATTGGCTGCTCATTTGCTAGAAAATTTCTCAGCTAATCTAACGATGAAGATTAAATGCTGTTTTAGAATAAACCATGCCTAAAAGACTCTTTGGACTCTTGTAGAGCAAGATTGAAACTTTAATTTGTATACTTGGCAGCACAAAAAAAAAGATTTTTATTTGAGCTTTTAAGGCTTGAAAATGCTCATTCTTAGGCTTTTCCTAGATTAAACTCTTATAACTTTAAAATGCTGAACCTTGGAGAAAAGTTACTTAAGACCTTTTTTGTTTATAATCATCCCAAAACTGAAAAAGAACTTTGTCAAGAGGTAAAAGTTATAGTTTATATATATATATATATATATATATTTATTGTTCGGCAACCTCTTGACTGATGTTACTTTAACTTGACTTCTTTTCATAAAACGCTTGTTGAATGTCTCAACATGAATCAAGAGATTGCCGGGCATTAATCCAATGCAAACTTGTTTCAACAGAAGTTATATTATACAGATACCAAAAAATGTTTTTTCCGCTCTGGATCAGATTTTTTTAGGTTTTTAGGATCATTTTGAACAAAAAAGATTTTTAGTAACTTTTCTCGTAGGTTAGTGGTTAATGGGATTCAATGCTTTAAAAATCGGTTAATAATGATTTTTTTGATATTGCAAAGTATTTAAATTGAAGTTGTAACCCCTACAAAACCCCGAAGAGTACTTTTTACGAAAGTTTGATATGCTAACGAACTTTGAGTTTTGCAGATTGTAAAAGAGGACAATGTGTGTTAAGATCGGCACGACTATTATGTAAAATACCTGAAAAACGTCAAAAAACCCGACGAAATGTCATCTGGCAAACTAGGCAGTTTTTAGTATGCAAATAGTTCATTCCACTTTTGCTTGCTATGATCGCTGTTCGCTGACTTTTAAGCAACACGTACAGCTACAAAACGAGTCCACCACAAGTATACACCAGCTCGTGCAGAAAAACCTACGAAATGTCACGTTTTAAGATACGTAATACCCGTGCCGGCTTGATGAATGAATGAATCTTAAAATTTGAGGCATCCCGGCCACCATAAGGAACCAGTGCATAGGCCGCTTAAGCGGGCCCTTATGCACCTCTACAATACTTAAATAACAAGCCTCGCCCTTTTAGCGAAGTTGAGAATAGCCTTGAGTCCAAGCTCCTTGACGTCCTGAGGGTCCAAAGTAATGGACCCCAGTAGGTATAGTCTGCCTATAGTAGCTCAGAGCTTCACAGCGACACAAAACGTGCGCCGAGGTCTCTTCCTCTACTCCGCAGCGTTCGCACAAGGGAGCCTCACCCACCCTCATCACGTGCAGGTGACGCCTTAACGTGTTATGGCCAGACAACAGTCCCACCAGCAAACTTAGGTTGGCTCTACCCAGAGATAGGCAGAAGCGTCCATCCTTAGCACTGGGCCCTTCAATGAGCTCTCGTGCCTGGAGGAGATGTCTAGAGATACTTCTCCATTTCTGAGAGTGTTGTCTTGCAACCCAAGTCTCCATTTTCCTCCTAGCTTTATACGCGGTTACTCCTAGAGCTGGCTCAGGACCAACGAGCTTGCTGGCTGATCCTGTTTTCGCCAGAGTGTCCGCCGTCTCATTGCCCCTTATCCCAGCGTGCCCCGGTACCCATATTAACGATACCGGATGCCTCGCTGGAGGCTTAAGTGATGTGACGTGACTGTGTGACTGTTGAATTCCCTTCCTCGAATAAAGAAAATAGGGTATGTAGTAACTAAGCATCAAATCATCCATGGTGCAAGCTGATCCCACCCAGTCAGATGCGCCTATGCGTCTTACGAGGCATATATCTATTACAACGGCCTTATAAAACTTAACGATGACAAGAATTACACGCTGCGTAAAACCAAATGCTATTAGCGGGTAAAATGATGCTTTATACTATAATACGCCCGTAAATTAATTTTAAGCTTAATTTGGAAAAATCGCGGCTTAAAAGTAACGTCTGCAGGCTCCTCCCACGACGCGGTCGGCTCACTTTGACTGTCTTCCTTCCAATATCAATAAATTCAACAGAAAGAAACATAAAAGTGTCCTGCTTTTTAATCTTATGCATTTAAATTCATATTTAGAT